GTTATGCCCCTCAGTTGTACTTCCATCTCCAGGTCAGTGCTGCGTATGCCTAACGCAACCTGGCAAATATGTCTGCTGGGTGTCACACGGCGCACAGATGTGTGGGGATCTGAAGGCACAAAGGGGCCACATTTTCAGATCCAGATCAGTAGTGGATGAAATGAAAAACTGACAGCGATTAGTGTTTTCCCACTTAGAATGACCGTCTCATGGAGCATCTTGATTGCTTAGAAACCTCAGATGTCACATTACAAGACATTCAAACACTGGTAATATATTCGCTAAGTTCTCCAGAAGTCACATTAAAAAATCCTGCAATATTAGGAATGCCTCCGAGTGCTGGGAAGAGTGTAGGATTTTTTCTTTTAGTAGAGAGTTAACAATAGAAACAGTTATACCTTGCCATTTTCTTAGTTTTTGAAACCTTGCCAACAGTATTTTTGCAATGCCATTTCTTTTCTTCTCATGCATCACTTGTCCATTCATGGGCAATAAAATCTACTTACTGAAGAAAACAGGTAATTAGCCATCCACATAAATTGCCCTGTGTCTACATCGTTCCTGTGTTCAGATGTTTTAATTGATTGCATTCTCAACCGTTTCGGATGGCTTAAATGCCCGCTAATGCAATCCAGTTAAGCCTCCTAATAAACCTGACTGATGAGCTGCAGTATAATCGCACATCAAGCAGAGATGTAGAGGGAAATGCCACAGAACTGACAGTTTAGAATAGACCGTGTCATTGTGAGAGACCCAAATCATTTCTCAACAGGGAAACTTCTAATTGCCTATAACTGGTGATGGATTTGATATCCAAGGCCTGATTCAACACACCTTTTAAGCAAGTCCTACCTAAAAAAGAAATTTTCATCATAGAACAGTCCAGGTCAGAAGAGATCTCAGAAGATCATCTGAGCCAACCTCACTTCTGGGTGCAAAGTGCTTTGAAGATGACATTGGTTTTAGATTTTACACTATGGTAAACAAACTACGGTTTGTCATCAAACCCTTTCCCTGGTCAGCGCTGCTGGTAAAGGTCACCCTTCACCCAAAGGTGTGCGTGAAAAAGGGAAGCTTCCTAGAAGTTAAGGATATTTATAAGCATTTTGATAACTCAGGACTTCACAGTCCACAGACAGTCTTGCTGAAACCTAGTGTAACAATTTACTGAGGAAGATCTTATGGTTTGGTCTTCTGTGTTCAACTAAATGATACGTACCTGGTGTTAAAATGCTTATGGTTATTACTCTAAATTTATTCAACTGGTCTGACTATCTTTCCTTGGAAAACAGAATAA